CTCCTGGGTTCAAGCGATTCTCCGGCCTCAGCCTCCCGAGTAGCTGGGACTACAGGCATGCACCATCATGCCCAGCTAATTTTTGTATTTTTAGTAGAGACGAGGTTTCACCTTGCTGACCAGGATGGTCTCGATCTCTTGACCTCGTGATCCACCCGCCTCGGCCTCCCAAAGTGCTGGGATTACAGGCTTGAGCCACCGCGCCCGGCTCAATATTCATAATTTTTAAGGAGTTCTAACCTATTCCAGGAATTAAGAGAAGTAACTATTTAATGTTAACAGGAAATTATTATAAGAACCCCTCATTCCAACAACATGTAGCCTCCCACTGCTATCCTCCCATGACTAAGTATTTCTCATACTCATGCATAGCCCCGGAAATGCACGCTCTGCAACCACTGAGAGCTCCAGGGCTTGGATCCATGTGGAAGACTCTAAACTTTCTGAAGGCAGGGCTCATGTCTCACTCATTTTTGTGCTTCGTTCCACAAAGCCCAGTGGCAAGGTGCTGTGTTTGCTAAAAGTGGAGATGAGCTGACTCAGCACACCTGTGTACTCGTGTCTCAAAGTGTGTCCAACGATCCCACAGAAGACAGTCCCACTGGCAACGCCGATGGATACAGTTCTGGTGCAGGGGAGACAAGATTTGTGGGGAAAGAGATAAAGATAATGAGTGCAGAGAAAGTGGGAAGGGTGGGAAATAATGCATGGGTTGGCAAAGGGTGGGAAATAATTTTCTCTACCCGTTTTACTTAGTTTATGGCATTTGTACGTGGCCTGGAGATGTGAAGGAGGAACAACAGTTTGAGACACAGGACTAAATTCTTAATTAATTGTTCTTTCTTTCCTGTTCCCTGCATGCCCTCCCTACTTATGCTTCAAAAGGGTCAGGGACTACTGGGTGGGCCAGGGTCAATACTCACTGGATTTTCTGGACTTGAGAGCAGAAGTGAAATATATCCATAGCGCATTCCAGAGCATGAATGACTTCTTCAGGTATCTTTTCCCCAGGGAAGCCAAAGACACAGAGGAAGGAGCAGCCCTGTGAGGGAGAGAGACAGCAAACCACAGTTGTGGACAGTGTGCTTTAAACTGGACTGGCAAGAAGGCTCAACAGAGAGCCAGAGGCAATTTTCAGTTTCTGAATCAGATTTCATCATGATTTTTCTCACAGTATTTTATTTTTAGACACTTCAATCACTTCTACTGCACCATTGACAGGAGGGCTTGAGCCCTTGAGAAGGGCTTCTTTTTGCTCCAGAGACAGTGAATAGGGCTGAGCTATCTGTGTGCATGCTCCGGCCTACTCTCTCCTGTGGCCAAGGTCTCACGTGGCAAGGTGCTCGGTTTAAGTCTATGAAGCAGCAGCACAGAGCAGTGGAAAAGGCACCAGCTCTGGAATCAGAAAGTCTCTGTTCTCAAGCTGCTTCTGAACTGTGGAAACTTAGAGAAGTCAATTATAATCTAGGAACCTGAGTTTATCAATCTGAAAACGAATATACTGTAGAGCTGCTGAGATGTTTTTGGCTGCTAAAAGAATTAATGCGTTATATATGTTCAAAAAGTCGTAAACCAAAAAGTACTTTTCAGATACTGTTATCATTCTTAGGGATAAAGGCTTAGGCTGTGAGTAGGTTTTCTTATCATAAAGCTAACTGTTCCAAGCAATGATTCAACTCTAAAGCTTGGCATTTGTAGTATTAGTCACTTAAAAAATGACCTCAGTCAGGTGCTGTTGTCTGTAAGAAAAGGGTATTGTGAATAAAGGGCAATGGATTAAAATTTTGACTTTTTGACATGTTACATCCTGATAAAATGCAAAAAACACTAAAATACCTCCATTTCTTTAACCCTCTCCAAAAGAATTTCATCAATTGTTAGATTTAAAAGGGACTGGGATCTGGCTTCACATGAAGGGGGAAACCCCTTTGGGGGAAGCAAAGAGCCCTTTTGCCTGAAAATTTATGTAGTGGCTTGACAAGAGCTTTTGATTCCACCTAGTAATGTATTGGCAGCTCTCATTTATTGAGTGCTGACTCTAAGACAGGCATTACACCAAAGTGCCTCTCACGTACTACATTATTTAAAACTTTCCACAGTCATTTGAGGCAAATACTATCCCCATTCAAAGAGGAATAAACCAAGGCTCAGAGAAGTTCAATGACTCGCTAAGTCTAACAGCTAGGAATCTTTGGAGCCATGTCTGTAAGACACGAAAGACTGTTCTCTTAGATTATTCACTCTTTTCTTATGATATTCATGAGTCAATATTGTAGAAGATACTGGAGGCACCATGCTGCAAGTAGTCCCTTTCCCAGAACTCCCATAACACAGAGTTAGTTTATCTCATGTGGAATGAGTGCTTCCTGCCTGCTTGTGTAGCAATGTGTATGTTACTCATCTCTGCTGCCCAGCCCTAGCTTTCTGTCTTCTAAGAAACGCTCAATAAATGCTTGTTGAATGAATAAATAAGTGGATGTGGGGCAGTAATTAAGTGCTCTGCTTTTAATACACAAAAACAATTGAGATGGGAAATCAGTTCTCACATATGCATCTGTGGTCATTTGTTCATCACGTCCGCTTTTCTCTAAATTGATTAAGAACAGAGTGAAAACACCTGGGAGCCGGAGGCAATCCCCTCCCTTCTATGGATGGAAATAAAAGGGGAACTGGAGGTGCTGACATGGCAGGTAGGCATTCTTGGAAACAAGCTTCTGGGGTGTGAAGATTACTAGACTCCTGACCGGAAACCCCTGGGTAATACACCATGTGCTGGGCTGGGGACTTACGTGTAGTGAGAGGTAGTCCCGCATAGTGAGCTCAGACAGGGACCGCAGACTGCCTGGGTTTGAATCTCAGCCTCCCCCTTACTAGCTGGATGATCATGAGGAAAACGTAATCTCGCCTTGTCCTGGTATCCTCATCTCTGTCTCAGCATCCTTATCTATATAATGAGGATAATGACAGGGGCACCTACTGCTCAGAGTGGTCATGAGCCAATACAGGTCGGGTGCTGAGAACAGTGCCTGGCACATAATAAGTGCTATATCCACCACAGAAGTTATTATAATTATAAATACAGACTGGATTTCTAGGTTAAATTTCCTTTTTTTTTTTGAGACCGAATCTCACTTTATCGCCCAGGCTGGAGTGCAGTGGTGTGATCTTGGCTCACCGAAACCTCTGCCTCCTGGGCTCAACCCATTCTCCTGCCTCAGCTTCCTAGGTAGCTGAGATTATAGGTGCATGCCACCACACCTGGCTAATGTTGTTTTATTTTTAGTAGAAATGGGGTTCCACCATGTTGGCCAGGCTGGTCTTGAACTCCTGACCTCAAGGGATCTGCCTGCCTCAGGCCTTCAAAAGTGCTGGGATTACAGGCATGAGCCACTGCGCCTGGCCTCTAGGTTAAATTTCTAGAATCTGTTCTCTCCGGCTCACCAATGTACTTGTCCATGAATGCTACCCTGAAACCATTGGTAGGTTCCCATCCCATAGCTCACACTTACCTTGTCAAACATGAAGACTTTATTGATTTGGCCTCGGAAGACCTTCAAGACAGACGTGATGTGCACATAGGCATCCTGGATGGCTGGGCCTATCTCTTCTGCTTTGTCTTGGTCTTTAAACATCAGGTTCACAAACACAATCGTCACTGGGCGAAGCTCAGACAAATAGCCCTGAAGCTGTTTGTCATCAATCTGCAAAGTAGAGAGCAGCTTTCTGTAGCAGGTGTCCTTGGCAGTGTCCCTCCCCCAGCTCCACCCCCACCTCATACCCGTGATCATCTAGGGAATGTCTACCTCAGAATGTGTGAGATATAACACGGCAGAGCCAGCAGGCCTGAAGTCAAGCAGATGGAAATAGAATCAAAATCCCTCTCTTCCAGTGGGGACTTACGTATGTGCTAATTTTTGGCCAGCAACCACTCCATTACCCCAACTGCTGGCTCCCTCATGCCAATATGAGCCATTGCAATAAGGGAAAGAACTACTGTTCTTTTTTGCTCTCTTATTTAAAAAATTTTTTTGAAAATTTTAATTTTTTTAAGTCTATAATAGATGTATATATTTACATGTTACAAGATATATATATATATTTTTTTTTACAGATGGTAGGTTTATTAAAATCTATTGAGTACAGCAGAAATTATGTGTTCTGAGGGGAAACAAGCTTTACAAATAAAGTTCTAGCTGGAAATACTGTTGCTTGGCAAGTTAGTGCTAAGATTTTAATATTTAATTTACATGGAAAAATTATTTGTGGCATCTGCTGAAAGCATAGATTTATATCTATCTATCTACCTACCTATCTACCTATCTATCTGTCTACCTACCTATCTGCCATTTTAGTACTGCCTAGTCATATTTGTTTTTGGTGTTGATGTCAACTTTGATTTAAGCCAGGAACTGTTGGATATAACACTTCTGGTTACATAATATCATGAAATGATTTATTTTGCATAATGAGACAGGGTTAACTGAATAGTTTACTGTACACTGGTCAAATTAGCAAGATATAGTATTGATGCTACTGTTGGTGTTAAAGTGATTTACTAAGAAACTAACCCATACAGTGGTAACATTTTGTAACAATGTAGAATTTTAGCTTATGTAGCACATTATGAACTAGTTTTTAAAAATATTTTTTGTTTTAAAGTTGTAACTGGACAATACTATGAACTTAGCAATGAACTCCATGAGCTCACTATGCTTCTGTAACTTTCGTCAAGGTGATATTGCTGAATAAACTGGATGTGAAGCACTACACAGAGTTTAGGTGGCTTTGCTATGACAAAGTGTTGTAGAGGGTTTTAACTGTTGAAAGACATTGACTTACTCATGCATCTGTGGTTGCAAAGATTACGTTAATGATTTGACCACTTTAATTGCCAGTATGGCTGGTCTAACCACTGAATAGTCATAGGAATGCATTATTTCAGTGGTCCATTCACCCTGAAATCATGTATTTTGAGATGTTATTTGGGAAGAAATAAATTGGTCAATCTTTATATGCTAATATTAGTTACGCAAATGCAACTGAACAACATTCTCCATACTATGGTTTTGACGGCTGATCTTTAACAGGACTACTCGTTACATGAGATATTTTGATACAGGCATGCAATATGTAATAACCACATCAGGGTAAATGGATTATTCATCCTCTCAAGCATTTATCCTTTGTGTTACAAACAATCCAATTATACTCTTTTTGTTATTTTAAAAGCATATGATTGTATTAGTCCATTCTCGCACTGCTATAAAGAACTACTGAGACTGGGTAATTTACAAAGAAAAGAGGTTTAATTGACTCACAGTTCAATGGGCTGTACAGAAAGCATGGCTGGGGAGGACCCAAACTTATAATCATGGTGGAAGACGAAGGAGAAGCAGGCATGTCTTATATGGCCAGAGGAAAGCAGGGGGAGGTGCTACATACTTTTAAACAACCAGATCCTGTGAGAATTCATTCACTATCATGAGAATAGTACGGGGGTAATCCACCCTTATGATCCAGTCACCTCCCACCACACCCCTCCTCCAACACTGAGGATCATAATTCAACATAAGATTTGGGAGATGTTGACCACCACCTGCGGAAGTCTGGCCTGCAGACCCTGACTCAATGATGGATGAATGAATGCACTCTCACACCATTACAGTGATACCAGTGGGCTAGGGATGGCCATTGGCTGCTTTCAGAGTGTGAAATGCAACCAATCAACCAAGACTCCCTGTTCATCCACACTTTTATTCCATAGATTTTACAATAGAGGTTCTAAGTTAACACACTTGTGGATAATTAACATGGTTGAGAGAATGGTTTTACAACTGATAAAAGCTTTAGGTTCTGGGGGCACAGAGTAAACATTATTAACAGGTAATTCCCCTTTGGTCTCCCCCTGAGAGGACCATCCAGCACAAAGTTTACATGAGTAAACAGTTCAGAGTAGAGACAGAGGGATGTGGGGTAAAGCCTTTGATTGTCTATATTTCTTTCCTATGCTAATGTTAATGAGGCGGCTGCCTTCAGCATACCTCAGTAAAACCTTTCAGCCTTCCAAAAGGTTCGAGATTACAATCTATAACTTTTCCTAATAGTTAACATTTTGCCAGCCACCCCAAGTGAATATCAACATGGACGGGGATACAAATCCAAACCATATCAGTGATTAAATTATTTTTTACTGGCCGGGCGCGGTGGCTCAAGCCTGTAATCCCAGCACTTTGGGAGGCCGAGGCGGGTGGATCACAAGGTCAAGAGATCGAGACCATCCTGGTCAACACGGTGAAACCCCGTCTCTACTA